AGTCGTACTCGAAAGTAGCAGCGTAGCAGTCCGTCGTAGTCGAGCGCTGTAGCAGAAAAGTCGATTGGAGGGCAGGTGGGTGTGGGGCCACGCAGTTTTTCCCGCACCGCCTCCCAAAATCGGAAAAAGTTTGTTACGTGTGGCTGCTTGGCGCTGGCCCGGCAACGTCCGACAATACCGGTGCGGGGGCCCAGTACCTTGTGTGGTACCGGCTCCGGTGCACGGGCCCGGTACCAAGCATCGTGATAGCACTGGCATGCGGCACCGGTACTGGCCCTGGCGCCGCTTGAACTTCTAAGAAAAAACGATCAGCAGACGATCGGGACCGTCTGGGAGTGTAAAATCGGAGGGCCCCGATCGTCTGCTTGTCACAGGCCGAAAATTAGGGATAGTTATATATCGTCAAATAGAACTGCCCGGTAAACCGTAGGCAGAGAGGGAGAAGAGGACAACAAACGAGGGGCTGTGACAAACTGTTTCATCGGAGTTTCACCGACTCATCAGGAGGCTGAATATGTAGGGATCTAAGTGGCTATCGGAGTGGATCCTAGTCACTCCATAGTAATGCTCGCACAGATACTGCCTAAGTATACCCGGAAGGTATGACGACCATTCTGTAATAATTACCCCCAAGGCCCCTTCCCATCTTTGAAGCCCAAAGTAACAGGCAGGCTACAGATGGCCACAAATTCATCATGGATCTCTGTTCTTATTTCCTTGTTGCCTATCAGAGCGTGTGATTGGGCATGAGGTAGCATGCACAATTTTTTGGAAAACTTGTCACAGGAAGAGAGTAACGTTTGAAAACCTTAGCAGCAGGAGAGGTAGAGGAGTACATTTCTTTATCCACTCCATAGTGTGCACACCAATACTGCTAAACTATATCCGGAACGTATGACGACCATCCAGTGTGGCAACACCAAAGGCCCCTTTTCATCTTTGAACTTTGAAGCCCAAAGTAACGGTCAGGTTACAAACGGCCACAAATTCATCATGGATCTCTGTTGTTAATTCCTTATCAGAGCGTGTGATTGGGCATAAGGTACAGGAGAGGTAGGAGTACATCACTTTGTCTACTCCACTCCATAGTAATGTGCACACGGATACTACTAAGGTGTACCCGGAAGGTATGACTACCATTCAGTGTGCCAATACCCAAAGCACCTTCTCATCTTTGAAGCCCAAAGTAACAGGGAGGTAACAGATGGCCACAAATTCATCATGGATCTCTGTTCTTAATTCCTTGTGCCGTATCAAAGCGTGTGATTGGGCATTAAAAGGACAACAACAGTGCGAAGGGACAGAGTTCAAGAAAAAATAGAATGCCTACTATTCCTGAGTCTTAACAGGGATAATGCTGAATAGCTCAAACGCCAGAAATGTTATGTTGGCCACCTAGGCAAGACTTGCTAGTTTGCTGGAACCGCACCCCACATGCAACAGGACTATTATCAAGAAGCGTGACAGGCGTTACAAGATAATCACGCACATCAGTGCTCAGATTTGCACTTCAATGCATTGAAACACTAGTGCTTCTCTATCCTTATAAAAGCAAACCCAGGTCTGCCGTAATGGGCCCACGCGAAACTCGGGGTGCTGCAAGACCTGGGCCCAATGTTGGGGCGTTCCCACAATTTGTTTTGTGGCACGTGGCTGTTTGCTTTTTTTTGTCGCAAAGGGCCTGCACCCAATTCCTTTTCTCGTAGCGCAGGTCCAAGTCATGTTCTAATACAAGTACAGAGCAGCGCGTGCGAGCGCTTTCGGATTCAGTGCAGCCAAGACAATAATAAAAAGATATGAAACTGCTTGGTGTTTCAGTTTCCGCACCTGGGACTTTGGCGGGCTTTTTCTTTTTTTTTAAATTAAACTGATCAGAACAGATACTACACTTGATACTACACGTGCAGATCCTGTTGGGCACCAAATGTGCAAAATAATGAACCTCCCAAACGAACATGGGAAGATACACCTCTGCTGAGTTTGCCTGTGTTTTTTTTTCTTTTTAAGTGGGGCGATGTCAGGAGGACGAGCAGGTGTTTCATGCAGGCGTAGCCTGCGCTGTCCGCTTGTACAAAACGCAAACCCCACCGTTCAGGCCCGAAGTCGCGCTCTAGCTGGTATTTTCAAGAAGCAAAATCTTGGTCACAAGATAAGCATAAACATCGGTGCTTGAATCCGCGCACATCAGTGAATCGAAACACCAGTGACTTCGTGAAAAACTACAGCATATGCCCTTCGACAGACACTTCATTGTGGGCTGGTGGCGATAGGAAAACCTAAACCCACTCGTTCACGCGCCGGTTTTCCACTCTAACTGGGATTGTTGGAAAGCATGACCTTGGGCACAATATGGCCATCAGTGCATTGAACCACCAATGCTTTTGAGTAAAACAGAGCCCCACCCGAGCTCCCTCGGCAGAGATTTCATTGTTCCATTGGTTACCAAAAGAAAGGTAAGCCCAGCCATTCAGGCTTCAACTGTCCACTATAACTGGTCGGCAACTCAGGTCTACCCTCTGAGAACGGAAGCTTCCAGAAATAGGCTGCGGGCCTCATTTGCGCCAGGTCGAAACTCCAGGGCCAGTCATACACCGGGGTGCCTTGTTTATGGTTTGCGGGCCTCGTGGTGTAGAGAAGAGGGAAGGGGGACTCCATGCACTATGGACAAGGACGAGGTTGATGAGGATGATGATGCCGATGATGATCGTGTTATGGCCACACATACAGTGTTAGTTAAGGTCATGACAAAAATAAGTGCGTCAACATGGCGGAAGAGGTGGTGTTGGAGGAGATGCATGAGGTGGAGGACATGGATGACATACAGGAGGTGGTGGTGGAGGAGATGAGGGAGGTGGAGGAGATGGTTGACATGGAGGTGGTGTTAGTGATGATGATGATCATGACGGCAGTAAGAAATGTAGGTTAGCTGACATGACAGTGATGTCGCATGACGAGACACCAGATTCAGAATGTGCCACAGGAGGAATCGCACCATGTTCGACCTTGGAGGTGGTGGTGGTTGCAGAGGCAGAAGCCGCAAGATATTCTTGTGTGCAGGTGACTGAATGCACGTGCCCTGCGTTCCAGGTAGGGGGCTGTGCAACGGATTCATGTTTGGAATGACCTCGGATTCATGTTTGGAATGACCTCGGATTCATGTTTGGAATGACCTCGGATTCATGTTTGGAATGACCATGTTCACACACACGAGCTGAGAGAGTGGGAGGAAAGGGAATTGGTGCTTTTGTTTGCATGTGTGATATTGAAAATACGCTAGCACTCATGTGCAGCCTGGCTGGAAGGGGGAGTAGCTTCCCACAAGGTCCAACCACCTGTGAGAGACTGTTTCGTTGGACGCCCAGCGACTCCTCAGGAGGTGAACCTCAACAGTCTGTGCGCAAAGGATTCGAACACTGGGTGAGGACTACTAACCATCTCGCCCAAACTCAGTGTTCCCTCGAGAAAGGCGGCTGACTTTACTCACACCAACCATAAATGTGTGTCAGCATGTTCGCTGTATACAACTCTGCAAAAAGAACCGACTGTGCCAGCTGATTTCATCAGCTTCTGTGTATGTTGGGGGGGAAGGGTTGCAGGATGGACGTGCAAGCATAAGGAGGGGCAAACCAAGCACAACACACAAGGAAAATTGTCTGACACAGTGGTCATCCTGGGGGGCGAAGTGCATGCATGGACACAAACCCACACTAGCAGTGAGGCCACACACCCACACTAGCGGTGAGGCCACACATAGAGCAAGGGATTGAGGGATGCACAATTCATGGGAAAAACCATCACATACCCCCACCACACGCAATAACTGTTTTCAAAAACAGAGCAGGTCTACGTGCAACCAAAAATAAAAACTTGAACTTATTGCTGGTACTGTAACGGCCGAGTCATGAAAGTAGAAAGACCACTCTGTGATGGTAGTGTGATAATGTAATTGATATAAACGTACAGACAGCAAGAGAGAGAGAGAGAGAGAGAGAGAGAGAGAGAGAGAGAGAGAGAGAGAGAGAGAGAGAGAGAGAGAGAGAGAGAGGAAGCGGACCACCCTCGGGCGGCAGGACCAGAGGTGTCGCAGGAAGTAGACCTGGGATTTCCCACTGAGCCGAAACCGGGTAAGACCTGGAATTCTGATGTGGTGTACGATTTAGGGACGCTGGACCCGATTTCCACCAGGTGAAGTTCCCCACCAATAGACAGGAGCGGCCACGGATGCTTGCTAGACGGGGATGCTCATATCACCCCTTCTAGCAAACCACAACCGGCATGTTGTTAAAAAAAAAAGAAAAGAGAGAGAGAGAGAGAGAGAGAGAGAGAGAGAGAGAGAGAGAGAGAGAGAGAGAGAGAGAGAGAGAGAGAGAGAGAGAGAGAGAGAGAGAGCAGTCATTCGCATGTGTATTAGACAAAGCTGCGCAAAACTCTCCCCCTTACCCTCTCTACTCGCAGCTACATTTGCCATGGCGAGTTATTCTGCAAGCTCTGTGCAAAGAGTCAATTTCAAGTAATTTCATACAGAGCGTGCGCAATACAGGAGTATTCTTCCAGGCATGGGTGAGGGCGAACCTGCCATACTAGATGCAGCTGGAGAATGAGGGAGTGAGAGGCAGAGGGAAATGAGAGAGGCCAGAGAGGGAGATATATAGAGAGAATAAGTGGGGGAGCTGAGGGGAATAGAGCAAAGCAACAAGGCGCCTGATGTTGGTGTGAGCTGAGCTGAACTCGTGTGTGCAGTAACCGAACGGCCACAGAAAGAGTCACATCACCCATGTAGCTGATGTACACACATGCAATTGTTAGTAAGCAGCTCATGAGTTGCCGGAATCAGACGATATAATAACTTTAGGGGTTACTCCCCTTTTCATTCGAAAGCCGTAATGAGAAGAAGACGCATTTTCATTCACAACAGGCATAGTGAGTGCTCTGTCCAAGTCACAGAAAAGGAAGCACAAACAGAATTCGCCTCTATGAGGACAAGGGAATGGGAAACATACCCTGTATCTTTATCTTCCCTCAGCCATTGGAGTTCACTTTCACCTTCCACCCCTCCAGTATATTTGCCCACTCCTTTGACGGTGCATCCCTGTGTCATCCTCCCAACCACTTGAACATCCGTGACAGACGGCGGCGCTACAATCATACATAACAACACACATGACCCTCAGTGAAGGCTGTGAAGCACCACTCTCCACATCATCATAACATGCTCACCAACTGCTCACAGCCTCAGCATGTGGATGACACATCCCACTCTTAGCTTTTAAAACAGATATGAGGAACAAGACCAGGCAACGTGTGAACCACACTGCTCCACAACATCACAACGTACTTGACACGTTGTGATTTTTATTATTTATTTATTTATTAATTTTTAAATACCAAGGCCCCATCTATTCTGGGGGGCAGCAGTCCAGTTACTTATCACCGGCAACGATGTTGTGATTTCAAGACAGCTTGGCACCTGACTTGTACCTCTTACACCACCACTGCCTTGAATGGCAACTAGGGCCTCTGCCACTCGATGGTTTCACCCTGGCACCACCCTGGGTCGCACACCGTCAATCTCAACCATTGAAATTGTGGTTCCACAACAAGAGCCCTTTGAATAACAAGAAATCAGTCTGTTGCCCCCCCTCTCTCTCTCTCTCTCTCTCTCTCTCTCTCTCTCTCTCTCTCTCTCTCTCTTTTCTCTCTCTCTCTCTCTCTCTCCCTCCTGGGGGGAGAGCACATATGATAGGACGAGAAGGAAAGGGAATAAGCAGGAAGGCATGAATTTTATTTATTTAATATTTATTTTTTTATTTTTATTTTTTTTGGCGGAGTCTTTCATCCGGTAAATTGGGTAATTATAAATTTCTAGACATTAGACGGCATGAATACTAATTGGTCAAAGACACCAAAAATTTTACAGCAGGAAAGGAGCAAGAAGAACAAGACGAGAATGAAAAGTCAAGGTGAGAGGACAATGCATAGGGCAATCTCCCTCATCTGGTTGATGGCTACTGATGCTGCAGAGGCCGCAATCGAAGTCATCTGTTAGTCGGGCAATAGCCATGACAATTCCTTACTGTTCATTCTTCAAGACAACCACCAAGAGTTCTTGACCGTGGATACATAATTCGCTTCATACTTTCCAAGGTGGGAATTCTACAGCACAGTGGGTTGCACCATAGCTACTTCCAGGGATCGGCTGCTAAGCCTGCCCGATTTCTTTCAGGCCTGTTTTCGAGCGTCGGCAGGCCGAGATGCAATCTTGAAACTTCCCAAGCATTCTCGTAAGGCATGTCACAGGTCTCTCATATTAACAACGAAAACATACGAACTCTACCTTGCGTCTATGTTTTTGTTCTTCGCATATCGTTGTTTGATTTGTCTCTGTCTTGTTTTGTTTTATGTTGGTACGTTCAGAAAAGACACACAATTATAGATTGCCAAACCTTACCTGCAATGACCACCTCTGTCTCAGCATGTCTTCCTTCACCCTTTACACCTGCCTTTGTCACAGGAGTGTACATGAACCATACGTGGTGGGCAACATCCTCAAGCGTCAAAGTATACTCGGATTCTTCTGCTCCAGGAATGGTAACAGGGCATTCATTATCCTGACATCGCCACCATCTGCAAAGTATGACGGACATTGAAAGACAAAGAAAATTGTTAAATAAATGACACCTGGCACCAGTCACGTGAATGCTCCCAAATTTGTTTAATAAATGATACCATGAGACGTATGAGGCTCGTGCCGCTGGCCGTTTCGGTTCAGTAGGCACAGGCCCAAACCATCTGCGAAGTATGACGAACATTGAAAGACCGAAAAAGAAAATTGTTAAATAAATAATACCTGGCACCAGTCACGTGAATGCTTCCACATTTGCTTAATACCTGATAATGTACGCTAATGAACGAGCCGGCGCTGGGTCTTTTTTCTTTTACGCGCCTGCTGCCGCTGGCCATTTCGGTTCAGTAGGCTGAGCCCCAAAGGATGAGGCACATTAACGGCCATGATGGAATAATTGGATGTTAAAGAGGCCATGGCTGGTTAGGACTGTAGCCTCACCTCCCAAAGTACTACAGTAGTAAGCCTTAAACCACCCGGCACCCGTATACTAAATGATACCATGAGACATGTGAATGTACGCTAATAAACGAGCCAGAGCTGGGTCTTTTTTCTTTTATGTGCCTGGTGCCGCTGGCCATTTTGGTTCGTCAGGCTGAGGCCCGAAGGATGGGGAGCATTGACAGCCGTGTTGGAAATATCCGGAAAGTGAAAGGGGAGGGAGAAGTTAGGTAGAGGAAAATAGAGGTAGGTGTAGCGGTTAGCATATCAACCTGAGGGTAAGATGGTCCGTTCTTTCGGCTCCTAATTGCAACCTAGAGGCAGGTTGGCAGGTTCTTTCGTCTATAGCTATTTGTCTTTTGTTAAAATCCAGCTTCGTCCTTGTTCAGGAATAGCATGTAGCTTGGCAGGAAGGGACACTAGGCCCGGTTTCCAGTATGAGCCTAATCTGGGTAATGGCCCCAGTCTTCCGGTTGGATTCCCGGCCTCCTTTTGCTCTGTACATAATGAAGCATGCTATTTGTTTTACAAACAAAAAAAAAAACAAAAAAACAAAAAATTGAGGTTTATGAGGCCAGGGCTGGTTAGGACTATGGCCTCACCTACCACAGTAGTAAGCCTTAAACCACCAGTACACCCGGGCCTGGAGCCACTGCACTGCACGCCGAGCTTTTCCGAATTGCCAGGGATGCAATTTTTTTATTTTCCGGCTGGCGCCGCCACCCGCCGTGGTCCGATAGGCCCGAAACGCGAAAATTACAAACTAGGTGACAAACACATCTCCACAAGGCTGGGGCAGTGTACTAGACGTTTAAACCACCAGTACCTTTCCAATATGTCGGCCGCGGGCAGTTTTAGACGGGCGAAACGTATTCGATTTAACGAGGGTGGCCCTCCCCTGCTTGACCCCTGCATTACCCAGCGCCTCTCAGCAAAATAGCTGGGAAAGTACCGGTGGTTTAAGCCCTTCCTCGAACGCAATCTTTCAGATTTCAGGTGTCATGAACCCTGACCACATTTGAGGCAAGCCAACTTCACTACATTCTAACAATCGATAATTGCTGGCCTCTCTCTCTCTCTCTCTCTCTCTCTCTCTCTCTCTCTCTCTCTCTCTCTCTCTCTCTCTCTCTCTCTGTGTCAATAGAGGGCGCGGGGAAGGCCCGCAACATTTTTTTTTTTGGAGTGGGGGCCTCGATGCTCAACATCACTCAACTTCGACACTGCTTCGACTTTGCTCTACACACACATACACACACACACACACATGCACCCACGTACATACCCCCACCCACCCACCCACCCACCTGCCCAGAACACACACGCACATTGCTTTTTCTGGCTTTTTTACATGCTAGAGGTTGGGCTGTGCCCCCTGAAGGTTGGACACTGAGGATTGGGCTGTGGCCGCTGTGTATTGCATCGGCTCTTTCAGAAGACCGCACCACTCCTCTGTGTGTGTGTGCTGTCTCTTATACACATCTAGATGTGTATAAGAGACAGGATTAGAGATGGTACGAGATGGAGGTATGGCCTAAGTGTGGGGGTCTGGGGAGGTATTGGGGGATGAGGGATGGTTTGAATAGATCAGTATGGTAGAGTCGGCAGTAGGGGGGTGAGTTAGATGGAGTTAGATGGGTCAGAGGATGGGTGGAGTCGACTTGTCGAATAAGGGAGATGAGGGTTAGATGGGGGTTAAAAGGGGGTTAGAATATGAGCGGAAGACTGGTTGAAAGAGCGCGGTGGAGTGCTGACCAGGGGGACAGAGGGGGGGAAAAACTGGGAAAAACTGGGTGGCACGAGGGCAGTATTGGAAAGTCGAACTGGCGAGGAGGGGAGGGGGGGGGAGGGTAGAGACGAAAACGAGGAAAGTCGGGGGTGATGGAGGAAAGGCTGCATTAGGGGGGAGAGAGTAGGTGACGTGACGGATAGTAGACGGATAGTAGATAGTCCGTGTTTGATCGGTTAGAAATTGGGGTATTGGACTGTCGTGGTTAGAGCTCACTCGATTGGTTCTTGGTCTTGTAGTAGGGGACACTTGGAGATGCGTGTTTGGCGGTACTGGCCGTCCTCTTCGCTGAAGACAAAATGTAGACAGAATGTAAACGACATTGCGGCTGCTTGATGACGTTCGACTTCACTCGAGTGATGGAGGAGAGTTCGCCGTCTGAGCTTCGCTGAAAACCAAGCGGTAACCAATCTCGATCTCCACTGTCCTCACCTGGACCATGTTTCAGCTAGATACAGCCTCATCATCTGGCCTCTTCTCCTGACATTTTTGTCTCAAAAGTCTTGAGTTCCTCGTGAGACAAGAGTCGTCCTTGTCCTGCTCGTTGAAAAGTACCGCATTGAGGACAAAAGACGGACAAAACGGCTTGATGAACAATAGATTCTCCTTTGAGTTCCTCCCGGATGTCCCTTGGTGGAGGAGCGAAGCTGAGAAACCTTAAGTCGGTCGTCAGCATCCCCTTTTGCCAAGTTCGCTGTTAGGTGCATGGTAGGACTCGTAGGTAGCCCGCTGTCTTCCCGTCACCTTGGCTCGTAGTCCTAGTGTCCTAAACGCGCGTGTCAGGCGTGCGCGCGCGCGCCCTTAGGGCTTCTTTGTCGGACGTGATGAGCTATGGCAGGGTCGATCCTCGTCGATGTCGTGCGGGGCCGTGGGCAGGGCGCTTCACGACGCGATGGTTGTCGTTTTCGAAAGGCTAAATTCAAAATTGCCCCGCGCAGCGGCGGGGCTGCGGGCGCGAACGCGAAGAAAATTAGCGCTGCTGTGCGCTAACCGGAAGGCGCGAGAGCGGAATCTAACCACTCAACCCCCTTTCCATCTTCTTCCTATCCTTTTACTCTTCCATTTTTCTCTTTTTCCATCTTCTGCTTACCTTTTCCTGTCCTTCCTCTTCTTTCTTCTACTTCTCACTTCTTCTTCTCCTTTCTTTTTCCCTTCTTTCTTCCTCAGTGTCTTCTTCTTTTTTTTCTTCCTTATTCTTCTTCTTCTTTGCACCACCACCCACCGTGCCCATTCAAATCATTCTCATCATCATCATCAACACTGAAAAATAGCACAACCCCCATGGCAGACCCATTTCTGCACAGAAAAGGTTGCTTCACCCCCAACCTCCAATCCCCCCTGCCCGCCCTATCTCACCTTAGCGCAAACTGAAATTGAAGGGTGGCACAAATTTTCTTCCTCTTCCTCTTCTTCTTCTTCTTTCACTAAGATGATAATGATCATCATCATCAGAAAAATAAGCTTCCTGTTGCTGTTTCAGTGTTTCACAGCTTACACTCCTGTTTAATCGTATACGTGTGAAGCACTCTCACTCACATCCCCCACAGCTCCCCCTTCGCCAACTACAATTAAATCACCACTACCTTTTCCCATGTGGGCCGCCGTCGGGCCCCTTAATCTTTAGGAGGCCAAAACGAAACAAAGTCAACCAATGAGATTTATCAACAACGGGCCTGGCCTCTGATTTTTTTGGAGTAGGATATTTGCCCGTTTTCCCAACAGCTGGAAAGGTAGTGGTGGTTTAAAGCATGGATTCAACATGGTGTAGTAAAGCCCCAAAGCCAAAATAAAATAAAATTGGACCACTTTCCACACCAGCTGGTCTTTTATACTGGAACAATGTGAACATTTGCTGGCCACATTTCCACTCGTGGTTAATGGGTGGTGCTATTTTCGGCAAAGTTTTCACCGAAACTGCCATATTCCCTGAATTTTTGCTTTTTTCTTGTTTTCTTTTTGTCTGATATGAATGGGCTTGAGGGTATATTTGTATTCAGTTTCAGCGTATTTGGACGAGTAACAAAGAAGTTGGCAAAAACACCGAATTCAGGAAAAAATTTGGCGAACTCCGAAAGCTACTCCGGATAGGGTTTTATAGTCCTTTTTTTTTTTTACTTTTTTTTTGCCTGTTTTGTTTTTTGATGTTTGTATTATGAGCCTGCATAGTTTGTTCGCAAAATTTTCCACGACATTGCTTGTAGTGATGCGGCGAAAACCCCCGAATTTTGGGCCTTCCATTAACCACGTGTCCACATTTGCTGACCAGAGAAATTTTCTTCTTTGTGCTCAGATAAACCTTCTGGTCCATGCTGCCGAGTTAATGTAGTATACAGGACGTTACCAGTACCCGGACCGACTTCGTGGCCTTTCAATTGAAAAGCTGATCGAACTGAGTCCTGGGATCATTTGTGTGCGCTTGACACCAAGAATTGATAACGAGAGCCATGATGGTGAAAAATATTGTGCACAGAGAACGATTCTGCTCTGTACATCAGCAATTGTGATGCACAACAGTATACTGGGAACTGTAATGTTGCGGAGGCTAGCTATGTAGTTTAAACCACGACTCCAATGGCCTCTGCACTGTTCATTTTCTTTGCCTACAAGTGCCGGGTCAAAATCTACATTTCCAAGGCCCAGTGGAGGTTCAGTGGGGAAGGGTACCACAATTATTTTTCCTCATGGTGACACTGTAGACTCCAGGATCAGGGAAATGCGACTGTTGGCTTGTCAAAACAGATCCTGTTGGATGCTGTTCAGGGGTCCTTCGGCCAG